TCCGCTAATATTTTTTAAACCCGATGATNTAAGCCAAGAATAAGTTCCTATAAAGGTTTTACCTGTTAAATTTTGGGTTTGAGCTGCTTCCAAGAACTTAAAAACTATTTTCTCATCTCCAATAAGGATAATAACGTTAGATCGGTAAAGATTTTTCAATCTTGAAATTTCCCCATATAAATCCGATTTAGTATGATTAGCATACAGTATTACTGTTAACGATATACAGATACTGTGATTTTCAAAAGGTGAAAATAGAATTTTTTGTAGATTGTTGAAAGTATCCAAGCCCCCTATTACTATTGAAACCCAATTCCAATTGAAATAAGCCACGATATCAGCGATTGCCTGTACTTGAAGCTCTAATGGTGATGTAGTTCTAAAAAAGTATGGAAATAATCTACGATCGTTGAGTAAAGTACTATCTGAGTTATAACTTACTTGCGGTAAGTATAAGCTACTTGTATATGATGCAAGAGCTGTTGTAATGCTTTCTGTTTTCTCCGCTACTACGCCAATAGTAGGAACATGGCCAGTTGACGATGAATGGTTAGAGACTACTGCATTATTGCTACCAAGTTGTTGGCAACTTTCTGTTACAGATGCGGCCAGACTTGAAGTAAGGAAAGTCACCGCTGCATGTCTTGATGAACAGGAATCTAATATTTTATAGTTAACTTTAATTCCAGGTAATAACTTTGAATTGTTATTTATGAAGTGATCAATAGTATAGATCATAGCTTGGGTTAACTGTATATCTTTTAAGCTATGTCTAGAGCAGGTATAAGTTTTAGGATTAAATTGTCGTGTGTTGGGGAATATTCCCAGTATTCTAACAGTTCTGTTTTCACCAGAATGTAATTGTTCTATAAAAGAGTTCGGAAATGTTAAATTTGATGCAGCAATGTTAATGAGTGTAATACATATCGCAGTGAAAAGGCAAAAGTGATTAGTTAAAGGAAATAGAAAAGAAAATTGCATTTTTCTTATTTTAGGCTTAGCTTTCACCCTAAAATTGGATATTTTATAATCTATATGAGGTAGTAATTGATTTCCGAAGATTTTATGTTCAAGGTTGTGCTAAGGACTGAGCGAAATGTTTTGCGTAAAATTTTTTTACTGATTGTCTAAAATACTCGTATCGTTAAGTAACAAATGCGATTTGTACTGTATGTATCATTAGTAAATTGATTTAATTAATGTTTAAGTCGTATCTATAGTAACATATTTATACTGTTTTATATTAACGCGAAAACTAATTCACAGCTAATATACATAATGATATATAATACTGCCCGATCTGCTACATTTATATTTAAAAAATCGATTACTTATTCAGATTATGATTTAACAATATTAGATAACCTAATTTTTTATCAGTGTGATGCATTATATGAATTCCAATTTAAACGATACCTTAACATTGCAAATTTAATATTAATAAACTTATATTGAATTTTGTTTGTCATGATAGTTTTGCTCATAAGTTATAGTAAAAGTCAAAATATTTTATAGCAAAGTACAATACATACCTGAATGTTTGATATAGGTTCTAATTTAAGGATGATGGTCTATCTTTGCTTTCTTTGTTTATAGAATTACGATACAATTTCTTAACAATTTGAAATCAAGAAGTAATATTTTCGACAAAGCTAAGGCAGACTAGCATTCATAAATTAGAGCCCAACTCAAACATTAGGGTTAAGGCTGTTATCTAAGAAAAAGTAAAAACTAAATTCCACTCTAATTAATGAACAAATCTAATTATCACAACCAACAAAATGTAATACAAATGCAAATTTTAATAAACAGGTGCTTATCTTCGAAATCCAGGTGGTCATATAAAGCGATTAATTATAAAATCTAGTTTTAAATAATTACTCATATAATCATTATTGCTTTAACTTATACTTTCAATCGACAAATCTATACTTAGTCTAGAGTCGTTACACAATGACTTAGCAAAGCTAATATCATTGTTTGACTAGATATATTGATCTAATTCCATTGTACAATTGTTACGGTGTTATATGCTGTAATATCGAGATTATAGTAGAAACATCTATGTTAGGATAATTTTGTTGATTCACTCTTATATGAAGAGTTTCTTATTTAGATATGTGATATTTAAATATAACACTAGCTTTTATAGTGGTATATACAATCTAATGAAATTAGTAATTTAATTAGGGAATCGAGAACAATCTATTTACAATTCAACTCATTGTTATTGTAATTTACTTATGGTGGATTGTAGATTATCATAGAAATGTTCCGTGATTGGAAATATTGTAATCTAACAATTTTGTATTAGTTATTCGATGCATATGTTCGTAAATGCTGTTGTTTTCATTAGGTAGCCGTAGATAAAATTAGCTTCTGATTCATTATCAGGCTTCAACGTTAATATTGCTAACTAGGATGTCTTTACTACTGTAAAAGAGTATATAAATGCGATGAATCGTGTAATAAAGTTAGTTCTTATGATTAGTATTTAACGTAAGTTACGTGGCGTCTAAGTCATTTTGTAATCTACTAGTATAGAAAAGTGTTCCTGAAAGAGTAGATATTGCTCCTTGATACGCGGTTCAGGGAATCGACTGATTGATCGTGCATTCCGTTATCTTGTTGCAAAGCTTTTTTTGTTACAAGAATGTCTAGTTTCCGTAGAATACTCGAAGAGCTTGTAGTTAAATAATGCATCTAAGATTCCGTTACAGAAATGCGTGTAGGTATCTGGAAAAAATAATCAAACATAACGCTAAAT